TGGCTCCTGACCCCAACTCCAAGGAAAAGAGGTAAAAGGAATGCTCATGTATTAGGAAATTCAAACCATACTGTGAATATTTTCATAATACATGTTATTTATAACATTTACATATTTTTAAAAACTCCATAAATGATAGATTATCACTGATTCTATTTGGGAGGCAAAATTATCCAGCAAACTGTTATCGTTTAATTCTCCAGATGTTCACTTTTTTTTAAGATTTATTTGGGGTCAACGCCGTGGTGTAGCAGGTGAAGCTGCTGCTGGTATCCCACATGAGTGCCAGTTCAAGTCCTGGCTGCTCCACTTCTGATCCAGCTCCCTGTTAATGCACCTGGGAAAGCAGCAGAGGATGGCCCAAGCCCTTGGGCCCCTGCACCCACGTGGGAGACCTGGAAGAAGCTCTTGGCTTCCAACGGGCCCAGCTCTGGCCATTGCGGTCATCTGGCGAGTGAACCAGCAGATGGAACATTTCTCTGTCTCTCCACCTCTCTAACTCTGCCTTTCAAATAACGGCTCACTAGGCTAATCCTCTGCCTGCGGCGCTGACACACCGGGTTCTAGTCCCGGTTGGGGCGCCGGATTCTGTCCCGGTTGCTCCTCTTCCAGTCCAGCTCTCTGCTGTGGCCCAGAAAGGCAGTGGAGGATGGCCCAAGTACTTGGGCCCTGCACCCGCATGGAAGACCAGGAGGAAGCACCTGGCTCCTGGCTTTGGATCGGTGCAGCCACGGCCATAGCGGCCACTTGGGGGGGTGAACCAATGGAAGGAAGACCTTTCTCTCTCTCTCTAACTCTGCCTGTCAAAAAGAGTTACCGAGTAAGACAGAGAGAGAGATCTTGCATCTGCTGGTCAATCCCCAGATGGCAACAATGGCCAGGGCTGAGCCAGGAGCTTTCATCTGGCCGCTCATTAGGCTGCAGGGGCCTGAACATTCGGGCCATTTTCTACCACTTTTCATGGGCCATTTGCAGGGAGGTGGATCAGAAGTGGAACAGCCGGGAGGGACAGGAACCAGTGCTCATATGGGATGCTGGTGTTGTGTCATCGCTTCACCGACCACGCCAGGCCCCGTGTGCTCACTATTAAATGGATCAATACACTATACAGGTTAGCTACAGAACATTTCTCCTTATAGATTCTTAGGACAGAGGCCTATGGGAGACCACTTCCAAATACTCTAAAAAGAAATTAGGATTGGGCCAGCGCTGTGGTGTTGCAAAATAAGAAGAAAAAAAAAAAAAAAACTAGCTGTCTTAGTATTCAAGGAATCCTTTACACTATAAGAAAAAAAGGTACAAGTGCAACCGGAAAAAAGGGAGAAATGACAGACAGGCAAATTCACAGGAAAAGAAATTACAGGAATTTTCAGATCCATAGAGATGTGTGCCCATGTACACATCAGCCAGTTTCAACATCTATCAACACATCGTCAATTCATTTCCTTTATAGGTTCCAATCCACCAGCCCCTCCCATTTTAAAGCAAGCCCCAAACATATCACTGCCATGTAAATAATTCTAACGAGGCCGAAGACAGCCACCACACACCATTACCACACCTCGCAAAATTAACCACAACTCCTTAAAACCACCTAGTAAGTGCTCAAATCTCTCTATCTCAGTAAGAGAGCTTTCTAAGACTGATTTTGGTTCTCACGACCCAAAAATTGATGCACCTGCTGGTCAGTCTCTCAATCACTCTGATTTGCGGGTGTCCCCCTCTCCCTCATCATGTGTCCCAGTTTCCTACATTCTGAACTCTGACTATGACCCTGCACTGTCACTCACTCTGTTCTGTACTGGTTACTGACGTTGCTACCAGATCATACCGGTACTTGATAAACAAGGTGAGTGTTATCACTCGTTGCAGCAAAGGAGAAACGGCACCAGGAACCGTGGGGCACGCGGGGCAGCCTGGGAAGAGGATGTTGTGATCTATCCATCCCGGGACTTGGCTCCGGCTAGCACCTGCAGAAGCAGCAGTCTCTCTACACTGGGGCAGTTCTACCACTGGGAACTCAATGAACCCCATTTGAGGGAGGAGACGCAGCTGCAGCAGCCACTCAGCTTGGCTGAGTGTCTGGGAGGCGCACAGTGATCCTGGTTTTCTTGGCTCTGCCTCATTTCCCACAGTCTTAGAAGCCTGTCTGAGGTATGGTGAGATTGTGCTGTTTATCAGATAACAGCCTTGCTGTCCACGCAGGTCAGTTATGAACCTCAGGGGCTGCTCTTCCCCTTCTTTTACCCAAACAATGGATGCCGCCTTGAGTTAGCACTGAGCCCTCTGACGCCACTCCAACAGTCTGGAAGAATCTCCTTGCTTCCTAGAGCAACACGTCCCAGGTGCCTCCTGTAAATCTGCTTGTCCCCAACCTAAAACAAGGCACTGCTACAACGGCCCTTGTCTCCTTCTGGTTGAAAATGGTACTTGGAGACCAAAATCCTTCCAAAGATTAAAACTTAGGGACTTCACAATGATGTTTCCCATTCAGATTTAGGATTACACACTTTTTGCATTTTATTAGTGAATGAAGCAAATTAAAATGACTATGATACGCAATTTACAATTAAAATGACATTTTTCAGCTACCAGATTAGCCAAATTCAAGGAGTAAGATTATACACAGGGTTAGAAGAGGATGAAAAATGTCACATCAATTTGGCACAACTACCAAAACTTTAAATCCACAGCCATTTATCCCATAGGTACACTCATGTATCATCGAATGTACGCGGTATTTACTACACTACTGTACATAAAAACAAAAGACTAGAAATATCCCTAATTTACTCTAGGAGAGGACTTATTAAATAAATGGCAGCAGATAGCCAATAGAATGGAATATTGTTCAGTTCTGAAAATGAGGTAGAGGTCTACACAGACCAGTCTCCAAGAAAGTGCGTTCAGGGAAAAGTACAAGCACCATGATGAGAATTAGGATTTTCCTAAATATTCCTATTCCTGTGAACTAAAGGGACCCTGCTACATGTGCTGCAGGCACCGCCCCCAGGAGGCCCACAGGCTCTGTGTGTGGACAGACAGCACATTCCTAGGAGGCTGTGGAATCAATTCGTAGCAGAAAAATGCCTTAGGAGTGGGAGGCTTACTTTTCATATGCTTAGATTTATCACTGTGTGCATGCATTAACTTTTCTATTAAGATTTTTCAAGAAATTCTTCATGAATAATAAAAGAACTTCATTAAATAAACTACCAAGCAACTCTTTCAATGTTGTTAGTCCGGAACTTGCCAGGGCTTCTGTGACATCAGGATCCACCTAAGCCAGACCTACTAACTGCCTCAAACTAAGAACACGGCAGTCAATGCTGTAGAGAAACAACTCTCAATACTTGATTTGTGATGGGATCATTCCTTCACGTGTTGGTAACAGGTCAGTCTTCACAATGCACTATGGTCTCTAGCCTCTTAAAAAGTAATGCAGGGAGCCGCCGCCCACTCCAGCTCTCTGCTGTGGCCTGAGAAAGCAGTGGAAGATGGCACAAGTCCTTGGGCCCCTGCACCTGTGTGGGAGACCTGGAAGAAGCTCCTGGCTTCGGATAGACCCAGCTCCAGCCATTGCAGCCAACTGGGGAGTGAACCAGCGGATGGAAGACCTCTCTCTGCCTCTCCTTCTCTCTCTGTGTAACTGTGTTTCAAATAAATAAATAAACATTTAAAAAAAAAAAAAAAGTAATGCAGTCTCTGAAAGACCAGGAACTGAAAAGAATACTGACAAGATGTTCTTACATCCATTTTTGCATAAGTAATGCTGAATGAGTAAAAGCATGAATGACTGAAGCTATACCACAAAAATCAATTAACCATTAATTATACTCTACAGCTCCTCCATACAAATGATCTATTACAATGAATATCTCCACAATTAGGTTTCCATATAAGCAACGGTCCACACTGGGTGAGTTAAACACAGTACATGTTAATTCTTACAATAACCACGAAACAAAGTATTATTTTACTGACATAATGGAAATTAATTTTTCCATGATCTCACAACCAGTAAGTAGTAAGGCTATACAAGGTTCAAAAGACATGTAGGAAAGTGTAATTTTTGCAAAAAAAAATTTTTGTTAATTAAAACAGAGTACATATAGAATAACTAAGTTTTAAAACAAGAATCTTAAAGTGGTCAGATATTTGCTTTAATGACTAATACTACAGCCATAAATAGAAATGCCATAAAAATAGTATAAAAATTAACCAGAAATACACTGCTATTGCTATAAACACATTTAGGATGACTTCCAAAGAGCAAAAGAAATGAAACAATCACTCACAGAAACAAGTTCTTATTTGGTTTTCTAAACATAATATGTTGACACCAATTCAAATGAAGAAACTTCATGTGATAAACTACTGTAGAACTGGGGGGAGGGGGGGATTAAAATAATATAATACAAAAAAAGTGGATTTCATGAGACTCTTCCAGGGTCTAGCACAAAACCCTGGAGATTCCGAAGCCGACACTGTCATCGCAGCATCTGAATGACGGCACTTTTGCGATCATTTCTCAGGAAAGCGTTCAGACCAAATCAGTGCTCCAGGATCCGATTCTGCAGCAGGGATCTGGCCTAGAAGCCTGCGTCCCACGTAGGAGAGCCTGGGCTGGATTTCCGGCTCTTGCTCCCAGTCCCAGCCTCCTGCTAATGCAAACCCTGCCACACAGTGGTGATGGCTCAAGTACCTGGGTCTCTGACACACACGGGAGACCTGTGTGGTCTTTAGCAGTGGCCCAGGCCCAGCCACTGCAGGCATTTGGGGAATAAACCAGCAGACAGAAGTGCCTCACCCCCCTCTCTGACTTTCTACATCTCATTCTAAGTGCAGAAGAAAGGAAGGTGAAAATCTCAGCGCTACACATCCCTGCACACATGTAACACGTGTGTGGCACTGTGTCACCACTAACTGCCAGTTCACGCCAGGCTCTGGACGTTCTGTGAGGATCTGGAAGTCGGGGAGCCCGTCCTACTCTAACATACCTGCCACTTGACGAGAAACCAACAGGCATTTCTCAAGAATGGGCTGAATTAGGGCCATGGTCCAGGTACACCTCCCATGAACTCAGATAAGACCCAATTTCTCAGGTCTTCTTTCCTCACCTGAAAAATGAGAAGCTCGAATTAAAGTCCAAGCCAGGCACTTCACCTACTGGTTTGTAGGGAAAACAGCACAGTGCACCTCGGAGCCAGTATGAACCCCGGAGGACCTCTTCCCACACCCCACAGATGCACACTCCGGTCTCAGGCAGTCCACAGTTACGGATGCCAACAACAAAAGTTGTTGCTGTGAGAGCTCCCCCAACCCACCTGCTTACCAGACAGAACAGTCCCTGAACAAAATGGAAGAGAAACAAAGGGAAAAATGTTTCAAGTCAAAAATAAATCGAAGTGAACATTAAAAGGCTAATAAATTCAGTAATAAAAAGACAAATAACCCCACTTAAATGAGCCAAAGGACTTGGATAGATATTTCTCCAAAAAGGATTAGTAAGCAGCCAATAACCATACAAAAAATATCCAACATGATCAGTCATTAGAGAAATCAAAATCAAACTCACAGTGAGATACCGCTTCACATTCACTGGGATGGCAGAAACAAAGACAGACAATAACAAGTATTAGTGGGTTTGGAGAGATCTGAACCCTTACCCGTTGCTAGTGAGAAGGTAAAAGCTGGCAATCTTAGAAAACGGTAGTTCCTTAAGAGGTTAAACGTAGGGTTACCTTTGTGTGTGTGTGTATGTACACACACTCAAGAGAAATAACATTTACCCACAATTTGTACACAATTCCTCATAGCAAGCAGCATTGTTCATAATAGCCAAAATGTGAAAGCAACTCAAAGTCCTTCAAATGATGAATGGATAAATAATTGTGGTATATCCATACAATGAAACACAGCAATAAAAAAAAATATGAAGTGGGGCAGGCACTGTGGCACAGTGGGTAAGGCTGTTGCCTGCAGTGCTGGCATCCCATACAGGTGCCAGTTCAAGTCCCGGCTATTCCACTTCTGATCCAGCTCTCAGATTATTTATTTATTTATAACCAAATCTTTAAAAAAAAAAATAAAAGTGAAGTACTAATACATGTTACAATACAGATAACGATGAAACAGGGTACGTGACAGAAGCCGGTACAAAAGAGCACCCATTACATGATTCCAATTATGTAAAATTTGCAGAATCGATAAATTTATAGACAAAGAGCAGACTTGTATCTTAGGCACGGGTAGTGACTACTAATTGGTGAGTTTCTTTCAGCCCTGATGAGAACTCTCTAAAATCAGGTTGCAATGGTCTGACGTTTGCAGGCCCCAAAGCAGGCCACTGAGAGCAGAAAGCAAGCAGCAGCGGTGGGTTTCCTGTTGTAATGTCCAGGCTGCTCTCCAGCCTCCTGCTCTCGGGGGCACAGCACCGCGCAATGCACGTCTCCTTCCAGAGGCACAATCTGTGAAGACTAAAGCTCACTGATCTGGAATGACTTCGACTGAATTACAAAACTCTATAAACTCTACCTGTGATTCCTGGAGTTCAAAGTAGGACACTGAAGGAGGGGACAAGTGAAAAAACAGAGACTTTCAAAAACGGAGTCGGGATCCTGACCCACAACTTCCTAAAACAGAGGGAAGATCTCCTGGCAAGGGGTAGAGTGTGCACACCACACACTCAGAACACGCGTGGGCAGAGACCCAGCACCAGGATGGAGGAAGCTGCCTTTATCATGAATACATCAAGTAACAGAATCCAGATACAAGATTCTAGTAAGCCTCAAAAACAAAACAAAAAACCCTAATGATCAAGGAAAACAGAGCCGGAATGAATACCAGAAGATAATCCATTCGAGTCGTTACAGATGAAGTTTCAGGCCAGGGGGGTGATGACAGATCCAAGACCAGAAGCCTCATTAAAGGTAACTTAAGGGTGAGCACACAATCCCAACTCCCGGTGTGACCACTTGACCCAACGCTACCTACCACCACTGGTGCGTTCAAGTGCACAGAAGAAAAGGAAACTTGGCCTCCCCCTACCAGAACACACAAAAAAGTCCTGGAGACTCAAACCGAAATGTGAAAGGCCAAACAGTAAAGCTTCTAACAGATAACACAGGAGAACGACCCCATAATCACGCGGCAGCAAGAAAGTCTTAAATAGGATGCAAAAAGCACAAACCATAAAGGAAAAGATGATAAACAGAAACTGAAAAGGTGCTCAAACCATCAGCCCTCAGGGCCATGCCAATGAACCCCACACTGAGACCTTACACAGAACCACTAAAACAGATGAAATAATAAGTTTAACTGACAGTATCAAAAGGAATAAAGACTAAAAAGCCACCAGAACTGTCACATGCTGGCAGGAATATGAATCATCTATTAAAGCCAAAGATACATACATATATATATATATATACACATACCCTATGACCAACAATTCTACTCCCAGATATATACCCTACTAAAACGAATTATGTGGATGCCTGTGTGTATACCCCAAAAGATAAGAACAAGAATGACTTTTGCAGTCTTATTCATTATTGCCCCAGAGTAGAAACTATTCTAATATTCATCCACTTTACTAATTTTTATATATAATTTGCGAAGACTTTTAAAAAAATGGCCACGAATTCTTCGACATACCTTCCACAAGGACATGCAGTCTCAGGGCTGGCGCTGCGGCATAGCATCCCATATGGGCACCGGTTCGAGTCCCGGTTGATCCACTACTGTGTTATTCATACAACATGGGTGAATCTCAGAAAGTTGAATAGAAGAGGCCTGGGGAAAAGGTGGTGTACAGCGTATCACTCCAGTGACGTGAGTGCAGAACTAACCTACAGTGACAGATACCAGAAAAGCAGTTACCCTGGTAGAGCAGTCACTGGAAGGGGCCCACGTCAGAGACGTCAGGAGTGCTAGGATAGTGTGGCCATTCTAGGGCGTTCACTATGTACAAAAACAAAGTCACCGTAGAGAGGATCTGTATACCTTTTATTAGAATTCCAAAAAAGACTGCTCTTAATCAGAATGAGCCACGGAAAGCATCAGCATGCCCTATGCACTCTACCACCAGCCCCGGTACTTAACACACAGTCACCCCAGCTTCCAAGACAGTCCGCTCCTTTTCATCCTGCCTCTCTGGTTCCCCTTCTTGGTATCTTCTGTTGCCTCCTTTCTGCTCAGCTCTTTCTTACTTTTGGGATTCCCCAGGTTTCCACCCTCAATCCTCTTCATTCTACATGCTACAATTCTTTGTCCTGCTTTTCCAATCTCAGTTGATGGCATCACCATACCCTGTTCTCTTACAAACTTCTAATCTGGCAGAGAATTAGGAATCCAAAATATCTTGAAAAACTGCAGTTGGCTAAATCCATTAACACGGAAGTTAACAGGGTGAGCACAAAGCTCCATGGACCACAAAACGAACGCACAGATCAGGATAAGCAATGACGTAGACAGGTCTGGGATTTTATTCAACTCTAGGTTCAATGTATGATGCGGCCATGAAAAGGATAAACCTAATATTAGTAAAAATACAGTATGCAAAAAGAGGAAGATAATAATCTTCCCTACATTAAGAGTGTTATACCTAGAACAAGAAATCCAACTCTATTTCTTCACTTATCTAGCCATGCCTGAAGTATTGCATTCAATTTTTTTTTTTTTTGACAGGCAGAGTGGATAGTGAGAAAGAGAGACAGAGAGAAAGGTCTTCCTTTTTCCGTTGGCTCACCCCCCCCAAATGGCCGCTACAGCCGGCGCACCATGGCCAGCACTGTGCAGATCCGAAGTCAGGAGCCAGGTGCTTCTCCTGGTCTCCCATGCAGGTGCAGGGCCTAAGCACTTGGGCCATCCTCCACTGCCTTCCCGGGCCACAACAGAGAGCTGGTCTGGAAGAGGAGCAACCGCAACAGAATTTGGCGCCCCAACCGGGACTAGAACCTGGGGTGCCAGCGCCGCAGGTGGAAGATTAGCCAAGTGAGCCGCGGCACCGGCCTGCATTCAATTCTAAGGATTACAATTTTAAAATATAATTTTTTTGACAGGCAGAGTGGACAGTGAGAGAGACAGAGAGAAAAGTTTTCCTTTGTCCGTTGGTTCACCCTCCAATGGCCACTGTGGCCGGCGCACCACGCTGATCCGAAGCCAGGAGCCAGGTGCTTCTCCTGGTCTCCCATGCAGGTGCAGGGCCCAAGCACTTGGGCCATCCTCCACTGTACTCCCTGGCCACAGCAGAGAGCTGGACTGAAAGAGGAGCAACCGGGACAGAATCCAGCACCCCAACCAGGACTAGAACCCGGGGTGCCGGCGCCGCAGGCGGAAGATTAGCCTAGTGAGCCGCGGCACTGGCCTAAAATATAATTTTTTAAAAAGGAAAGCCATCAGCATGATGAACTGACATGAAACCGTGCCATGTGAAGAGCAGCTAATAAGCTGGAGATGTTTCAACTCCAAGAATGAATTTTTACTTATTTTTCATTTTTATTTGAAAGGCAGAGAGTCAAAAAGAAGAAAGACAAAGAGTGGTCTTCCATTTGCTGGTTCACTCTCCAAATACTTTTAACAGTCAAGGCCTGGGCAGGCCAAAGCCAGGCGCCCAGAACTCGATCCATTAAGTCTCCTAAATGGGAGGTAAGGACCCGGGCATCTAAGAATCTGAAAGCATGTTAAGAGGAAGAGGAATTCAGTCTGTTCAGTCTGTCTCCACGACAGGACTGAGTATCGACTTCCCAGCCACACAAGGATTTCCAGCAGTCAAATTTTAATAAAAAACAGGCAGGCGATCTCAGCTGAGGCTAATCTTATCCCGCAGTGCAAAGAGCAGCCCCTGCAACACAGAATGACCCATCTAAGATGTCAACAATCCCACGGTTGAGAAACCATGCAATGAGCTCCTTGTCAGTGGACAATGTGATTATGGCCAACAAATGACTCAAGGATGGTGGGAAAGGAGTTTAAAAAGATTTTCTGTTTTAGATAATTATCCAGGGAAAAATATCTTCAGATAAGTTAAAGTGATGATGATGATGGTGAGCATGACAAAAACGTACTCAACAATTACAGTGGCCCAGACCTTACACTAAGAGATTCATGTCCACAGTCGACAGTGAATTCTCACAAGAACCTTCTGTTAGGTATTATTGCACCTGATCTAGGTAAACAAGGTTGCCCTAATGTCACTCAACAGTCAACATCTGAATCTACCTGAATCCAATTACATACATCACAATATTAAGTGGTCAAAGCTTTGCCACTCTAAAAAATAAGTGAGGGGCACATGTACCATGTGTAACACAAGCCGCGCTGGCTGAGAAGAAGAAGAGAGGATTATCTGAAGTGGTCCTGTGATGGAGGAAAGAACAATTATCTTGACGATCCCCGACTGCCTACTTCTTTAAGAGCCAAGACGCTCTTACAAACCCACGGAATCTCGGTCAGAAGCGGGGAGTAATGATGACATCCCTTTATCCACAGGCGTGAAAGCTCAGGGTGGACAGACGTTTGAACATCCCCGACTGGGAATCCTGCCCTTAACACACACACGAGATGCAGATACATGGTTTCTTGGCTGCCTATCCTCACACCCATCTGTCGGGATGGCAGTGTGCCTGCTCACATGTTGGTCAAACTGTCACTAGGGCAGAGGTGCCAAGCAATGATCGTTTTAAATGGGCAGCTTGCTCTTCTCTTCTGCAGAGAAAAAATATTCTCTGGTAACACGGAAGGGCTGCAATCTAAGTGAAATATTCTTGACCAATCTCACCATTTCAGCCGGAGAAAGATCTAGACTAGTAGATGAGACTGAGGCTAAGGAAGTTAAATCAAACAGAAAGGTACTCTGAAGACAAGCTGCAGCACAGCTCTTCACACTGCTCGTCATGGTGACCTCTTGCACGGTGACACCTTTGCTCAACAAGTCACTGCTGGTTTTTTTAATGGGATGAAACATTTTCCCATGTTCTAAATAAAAGAGTAGAAATGCATTAATATCTAGTAGTTTGACATTATGTAAGTGCTACTTGTTGGCTGGGTATTTCATAAATGATAGAAATCTAATCTACAGCCAAGATCTTCTAATTGCAAAAACGTGGAAAACAAATGAGACTCCCAAAGATGAACAGGGCAAAAAAAAAAAGTATAATTTCAATGGGGGGGGGGATGGAAGGGGGGCTAAAAAAAAATAAGAAACTGAGTATTTTCATTCACAAATCTAAAATTTAAGTCTCTGGGGCAAAATCCCAGGCCAGTTACCTGTCCCGCTCTCTCGAATGTAAGCAAAATGTCCCCAAACTCAAGGTGGCTTCCTGGCGTCAAGTCTCTACCAGCTCCCGCATCTGGAAAGCCCTCCCTGGGACTGCACCCCGAGTGCGGCCGCCTCAGCGACTCTGCAGACGGCTGGTCCCCACCACTCTCCACACGTGCTCCACACAGAAGGGGCAGGACAGCCTAAGCAGCAGTCCCTCACTGTTTCCATCTTCTCAGCTGGCCAGCTCCTGGACCCTTTCAGGCCTGAGAAGAAAGGTCACCCACATCAACAAGGAGCAATGACCCTCCTGCTCTTCTGCATACGACCTCCTGAGACTGGCATCAAGACGCAGCAGTGCCGGAGTCCAGCAGAGCCTGCAGGCTCCAACCCGACAGTGGTGAAGCCTGGCATTTACCATAACCTTCGGAGAAATACCAGGACTCCCCCACTGGGAAATGACGCCCGTGAGGCCTTCTCTTACACCTGTACAACACGAGTGCTGAGAGTCATGGTTACAGCCTGTTCTTCCAACCAACCTGTTGCTGTCTCACACAGGGCCCTAAAATGACTCCTCCCCAATACCTTGTATACCTTGTGATTTTCCTGTGAACACCGAGAAGTAGTGCCTTCTAGAATCCAGTGAGACTCATCACAGGCTCGTCAACCCAGCCAGCAGTTTCTGGACTCGGGAACCAGGTACCCCGCCTCCACCTCCTTCTGCACCGTCGCCTGCGTGACTCCCCCGAAACGGCCAGTCCATTCTTACCTTCTCTAGGACACGTCTCTGCGCCTACTCTTCTCCCAGACACTGTCCCACCTTTTAGCCATGTCTCCCCTTGGTAAGTCTGCACTCATGTCCATTTAACTGCTCGCTCACTTCCTCCGTCTTCATCTGAGTACTGAGTTTTCAGTGCATAACCAACTGACTTCGGATAAAAGTTCTGAAAACTGCTCAGTGGAGAAGGTTTAAACAAATGGCTTTGGAACAGTTGGACATCCACAGACAAAAAAAAAAAAAAGAAAAAAGAAGAAGAACCAAGATCTAAGCCTCACCTTCTACGCAAAAATCAACTCAAAACAGATCATAGGTCTAAATACAGGATGTGAAATTATAAAACACTGGGGGCCGGCGCCGCGGCTCACTAGGCTAATCCTCCGCCTTGCGGAGCCGGCACACCGGGTTCTAGTCCCGGTCGGGGCGCCGGATTCTGTCCCGGTTGCCCCTCTTCCAGGCCAGCTCTCTGCTGTGGCCAGGGAGTGCAGTGGAGGATGGCCCAGGTGCTTGGGCCCTGCACCCCATGGGTGACCAGGAAAAGCACCTGGCTCCTGGCTCCTGCCATCGGATCAGCGCGGTGCGCCGGCCACAGCGCGCCGGCCGCGCCGGCCATTGGAGGGTGAACCAACGGCAAAAGAAGACCTTTCTCTCTGTCTCTCTCACTGTCCACTCTGCCTGTCAAAAAAAAAAAAAAAAAAAGAAATTATAAAACACTTAGAAGACGACATAAATCTGATCTCAGGTTACGAGGAGCTCTGAGACACACGTGACACAAAAACAATCCACACACTGATAAATCAGACTCCATAAAAGTTAAAAAATGTTGTGCTGTGAAAGATACCATACGAGAAGGAAAAGCCAGACTGAGAAAATGTGTTTATAATTTAGATTATGGGTGAAGAACTTGTATCCAGTGCATAAAGAACATTCTACACTCAGCAATAAGAACAGGGTTCAAATACAAAATGAGTGAAAGACTTGAACAGACAAGTCCTCAAAGAAGCTATGAATGGCAAAGAAGCACAGGAGAGGTTAGCTATCAGGAAGAGGGAGCCACCAGGGAAATGCAGATTAAAGCCACCCAGACACATCTATCACTACACACACGAAACACCACCGATACCAACGGTGGTGAGGATGCAGACACTGGACCCCTCATCGCGTGAGGACAGGACTGTTCACAAGTTCTTAGCTAAACACACACTTAGCATATGACCCCACAATTGCACTCCTGGGCATTCATCCTAGAAAAATGAAAACTTATATTCACAAGAAAAGCCAAAAATGACACACAATCCACATGGCCTTCAGCAGGTAAATGGTTAAATAAAGTGTGGTACAGCCATAAAATGGACAAACACAGCACAGTTACCAGAACCAGGAAAGTAACACTGATTCGAAGTTCAACGTTCCGGTTCTTCGGTGTAGGTACAGCTCCGGGACATCTGATCGCATGTACAGATCCACAGAACCATCACCACAATCAGGACCCACAACTGGGCCTTCATCCTCAAGAAACCCAACCTTAACCCAGCAAAAACTGGTCATCTCTGGGGCCAGTGCTGTGACACAGGGGCAAAGCCACCGCCTGCCATGCCGGCATCCCATTTGTGAACGGCCTTCCTGGCTGCTCCACTTCTGATCCAGTTTCCTGTGAATAGTCTAGGAAAGGCAGCAGAAGATGGCCCAAGTGTTTGGGCTCCTGCCACCCACATGGGAGACCAGGATAAAGCTCCTGGCTTCGGCCTGGCCCACAGCTCAACCTTGCAGCCACCTGGGGAGTGAACCAGCAGATGGAAGATCTCTCTCTTTCAAAATAAATAAATCTCAAAAATGGCGAACTCCATTCACTTCTGTAATGTTGTCATTTCAAGAATCCTGAATAAATAGAATTACATCACCTTTAGAGACTGGCTTTTTTTTTTTTTTTTTAAACTCAGAACTATGCTCCATACAAGCTGCTGCATGTACCAACTATTCTCCCTCTCTGGTGACGAGTGATGTTCCACTGTGTGGCTAGACCGTATTTTATTTAGCCATTCATCCTTTGAAGGACCGGTGGGCTGTTCTCGGTTTGGGCTATGATGAACAACTGCTGTGAACCTTCCTGCCCAGGTTTTTGGTGAGTGTGTAGGTTCCATCTCTCTAGGACAAATGCCCAGGAGCACAATTCTGGGCTGCAGGGTACCTGAGTGTTTAACTTCCTGAGAAATGGCAAAACTGACTCCTAGGTGGCCACCCATCCTACTCTCCCAGGAGCAACAGGAGAGGGGAGAGAACCTGAAAGTCATCATTTCTACAGTGCTTTCTACAAGCCTGAAAAAGCAGCAAGAGGAACCCTCTTAAATGTTGTAACCCGAACTTCACTTTCTTAAAAATTATTTTTTAAAGCTTCTTTTTCCTCTTTCCCAAATAATGGACAACTTTTTTATCTCTAGCAAAGAATGTATAGTTATAGGTATGTTGGTAGCGGATGCCATATTGTATACCAAACTGCAAGTGGGGAGGGAAAAAACCCTGAAACCTACAGTAGAAACAGACAAAGCTTCTGTTTCTACGCCTTCCAGTCCACCAAGACTAAAGGCTCAAGAGAACTTGCAAAGACTCAGGTATGCTGTGAAATGTGACTGCAACGCATTAACACACAGCACCATCGAGTGGTATCTGTTCAGCTGTTACTCCGCACAACGATTTAAGAAAAGCAACTAATCTGAAACAGAACTGCAGCTTCCTCAGCTGTAAGGCTTCCAACTTTATAGCTTTTTAATTTAGATCTGACACGCTGATAAGACAATGCTGTCTCTTTTGGGGTCTTGAAACAAGAAGCTAAGTCCACAGCAGACGTATCTGTCCACCCGGAGAAAATGAACGAACAGAAATTATAAATTCCAAAGACAACACTGGGACCTGACGTCCCTGTTACCAATGGCTTCCAGTTCTGAGTCCCTCGCGGGATCGGCGCGATTGTTCCTGGCGCTGACCTCCTCCCACTGTTACTAGGATGCTTACCCCGAGATTTAATTATATGACTCCTTCTAGGGCACTGTCCCACTTACTGCACAGGGCTGACTGCTAAACATGTGTTTAACATTTGCCAGTGCAAACAGTGTCTATTCTAAGATGCAGTTTAAACCCTACAGCACTGGCTCCCATCAGAGAGAGAAGTTATGGCAAAGAATCGTCAAATCCACACACTTACCTGAAGATTAAACAGAAAGCATGGTTCGCAGGCATGAGTTTTTCTAGGCTGACAAGGATGCTCTGGTTAACAAAATTCTCAGTAAATGCACTGAGAATGTTAGCTAAAGTCGTTTCGTATTAGCATGTGGGACCGATACTAAAAGTCTACCTCCCTGACAGGAGGGGAGGGGCACACCTCCAGCCCCTCCAGGCTCCCTGGAGAGCTTGTCTGTAAGGGTCGCCCGTGGGCTCCTGGAGCAAGAGTGGCAGGCAATGCCCGAGTTCCTGCCAAGGTCTGAGCCAACACTGGGGACGACGGAGCAGGAGTAACGGGGAGTGCACGAATCCACTTCAAAACAGCTTCCTCAGAACACAGCGTGCTTGTCTCACGCGGAGCCAAGGGGGAAACCCACCAGCACGGCCCTCTGCTCTCCGGCAAGGGCTCCCACAGGCAGGGGAATGGGGTCAGCAGGGCCAGACACACCCCCGGCTCACATCCCCTCGGATACGCCTCCTAGCGAAGTGCCGAGCCAGGATGCTATCGCTTTTCCGGATTAATTTTGCATTCTTGTTGAAAACTCTTTGTTTTCTATATTCCATCATAAATAGCCTTATACATTCACCGACCTGTGCTGGATCCTAAACAAAGTCCAAAAGAACCTGCATTAAGTGAAGACGAGGAACACTTGCTTCAGGGAGACCGGGGGACAGCAAGAACAGACGCAGCACCGTAGCCCAGTGCCCACCTGCTCTCCCTCTGAGCACGCAGAGCGCCCACCAGGCTAACCCGCTGCAGGGGCTCTCAGCTGCCGTCCACCCTCACCCTGTTAGCAGTGTTCACAGGCCGCACTCACACCCACGCAGCACTAACTCCCTTAGGCTCCTGCCTGCCACACATCTGCAGGAATCAGGGGCCCTCCTTCTCCTGTGACACAAGGCAAACCTCAAAGCTCTGCTTCATCTCCAAGTAAGTTTCAATTTTCCAAGTCAAAATCCTGTTCACAGTATGTTCTGTCTGATTAGGGATGCCTTTACAGTCGCCAAAATTAACATCTTGTTTTTGCCTTTTCTAGACATCTGGGACATTCATTTACGTATTATTTAGAAGAAGAAAAAGCTGGCCTATTTCCTTTAAGAAACTGAATGTTAGGGTCTGTCGACGTGGTGAGCGCCTTCCGGTTACTTTCAAGCACAGCCTTGCATCCTGCAGTAGAGTTCGCGAAGCTTCCCACAGACCCACTTGCGGGGCACGCACTCCCCTGCTCTGTGCCAGGCTCACGCTCAGCGCGTCACCCCAGAACCTCGTGAACAAACACCCTCCCGTGACGCCTGCAGCTCGGAGCACTACAAGCAGCCATCACATGCGAAACTGCCACCTGCCCGGGACCGGGCCCCGACCTGGGCGCGCCGGCCAGCAGCCTGCAGGGCAGACGAGCGACGCTGAGACGCGCGGGCGCGGGCGTGCTGGGGCCGCCGGAGGAAGCCACTACCGCTTCGGCCGCGCTCCCCAGCCCAGCCCAGCCTCTCACCCGCCCAGAAACTAAAACTCCCGGCGCGGCCCCGCGGGCGCCACCTGCGCCCAGTGCCGGCCCCAGGCGCGCTGCTCGCTCACAAGCCGCTGTGCACCTGCGCACCGACCTCTCCAAACCACCCCGCTCGGCCTGGCCTAAAACCCTCCTTCTCAACTCCTACACACGAACGCGGCCCTTTTTATTTTTACTCCATGAATTTCAGACTCAACAGATGAGCGATTCCAGTTTAAAAGAACAGCTAATGAGGCTCTTCGACTGAGATTCGCAAGCTATCCCGGGAGATGCAGAAGGAAACCGACCACGGCGGGCTGGTCCGTGTCGCTCGGGGGCTCGCGGCCACTTCACGGAACCTGACTAAACCCACGCGGGCGTGGGCGCCGACCCGCGGGAAGCGGACGCCCCGGCCGGCTAGCCAAGGGGCGCCCCCAGGCCCCTCCGGCAGGTCTGGCCCCCGGGACTCCGGCCCGCAACCGCCGGTCCTCGCCGGGACGCTGCCCCGACCCCGCACGGCTCGGCCCCCGCCCCGCGCCCTCGGAAGCCAAGCCGAGTGCCCGCCGCGCCGGCCAGGCCGCGCGAAGCCGCCAGCGCCTGGAGCTGAGGCTGCGGAGCCGGCGCGCTGGCGCAGGAACAGGAAGCCGCGCGCGCCCCGGCGACGCCGCGCCGCGCGGCCCCGCGCCCGCTCCCGGCCGGCCCCGCGTCCCCGGCTCGGGCCCCGCTGCCTGCGGCCTCCCTACCCCAAGCCGCAGGCCCGTCGCCTCCTGCCCAGTACGAACTTCCCGCCGCTTTCGCCGACTCGCAACTCGGCGGCGGCGCCGGCCCCTCCGCACCCGGCAGTATGGAGCCTTCCCATTGGCTCTGGCGCCGGGGGAGGCGGGGCGAGCGTAGGTACGGGCCGCGCTCCTTCCGCCGCCTCCCCAGGGCTGCCGGGATCGGTGGTGGGCGCTCCCACTGCATGCTGGGAGTTGTAGTCTTTGGGCGACCCAGGGAGACCCAGGGTCCCCTGCTCCCTGGGGATTCTGGGAAATGTGGTTTACACGCTCAGCTTGCGTGTTTCTGACCAACTAAGGTATTCGTCGATGAGCTGGGAGCCGAAGAAGTCAGTATTGCCAGTGCTTGGAGTAGCTTCATCCATTAATATTGAAAAAGGGCCTTGTGAGTGCCTCCTGTCGCCCTCCACCCCCCGCCCGGAGGCCTTGTCCAGCGCTTGGCCCCAGGTCTAGCCCTTCCGCGTGATGGACATTGCACCTGAGGTAGGTGGTAGACCTCCGCGACGCTCCGGTGTCTGCCAGGATGAAAGGAGACGGTCGGGGTAGCGCTGCGTGTTCCGTGAGTGGTAGGAGGGGCTGGTGTCGTCTGGCCACCCCTGGTCACGTGGCTGAATCCTGCCTGTTGGTCAAGGCCTCGTGTCGCGGTCACGCAGCCCTCTGGGACCCTCACTCTGCAGTGTGCTCGGCCGGTGAAGCCGGCTAAGGCTGCTGCTCCCGGGGGGCCGTGAGCTATGGCAGGTGGGACCCCCGTTCTACATCAAACGGACCCGAGTCAGAGGCCGAGGAGACCCCAGGCGGCTGGCGAAGCCGGCTTCAGGGACCTTGGCAGGGCGTTTGCGCGGCTTTGGAGGGGCTGGTTTTTATTTGCCAAGCTGAGGAATTTATATATGATTTTCTCAAAGTGACTCCGCCAAAATCGGGCGAGCTTTGGTCCCACAAACCTGGATTCCCTCGGTCCTTGAACGGTGCAGTGATGTAGCTAACGTCTGCACCTACCCTGCCAGGTACCCTCACCAGCTCCCGGTGATGACCTCACAGCCCACTGAAAGGACCCCGTGCCCCCTGGCGGGGTGGGAAGGGAGGAGACAGGCTCCTTGGGCAGGTGTCCCCCACCCCATCCTTGCTGGCCGAGTCCCTTTAGCTGAGGGTCACTGCTCCCTGGGCCTCCCTGCAGTTTGCGGTGCCAGCCCCTCTGTGCCTCAGCCCCAGAGATGACCATGTCCGCCCGCTGCTGAGCCCAAGCTACGGCTCCAGCCCTCATGGTGCCCCCTCCCCGCCAGACACACAAACACACACGCATATCTTTTTATATAGGAGTCTCGTCGCAAATAAGCCCTCTTACATGATCTTATTTCAAATGTGTCATCTGCTTGCTGTCAAGACCTTGACGGGAACACACGCACAAGGTGAGCGCTTGATGTCTGTTTGTCAGCAAAGAGGCTGCAGGATTCACACCTCTCAGGGGTGTGGAATTCCTCAGCAAGGCTCTGTCGCCAGAACCCATTGAGAGAACGACATTCTGCACACACGCGCACGCGCACGGACTTGCACACACTCCAAGAACTGGACAGGACTCATCTGTGGCAGCGCGACCTCACCGGAGACTTGTGGGAGGAATGTCCCTGCTTCCATGCTCGGCTGGCAATTGGCTGACCTTAAAGCGCAATTAAATCAGCAGCGGAGCAGGGAGCCCTCCAGGGTGAGGAGAGAATGGATTTACACTGGCGCTCGTGGCGCTGGCACCCGCAGTTGGATGGCTGACTGTTCGCACTGCTGACATGCGGCTGTGTTCCTCAGGAGTTGCCAACACCTCCAACACCACCCACACGTGCTGAGACGTCCTAGCAGCGCCGAGCACGCCAGGCCAGCAGCCCAAGCTGCCGCCACGGAGGGACTGCATGTCTGAGACGCCGTGGGTGGGGCCGTGACTGGACACGGGAGACCTGGGAGAGCCGTTTATGAGTTGACAGCTTGGCATGAAGATCATGGCTGTGCGAAAAGGTTGACCGGCGAGGATTTGCTAGTCCTAGGCTTTCAGCGTTGAGCACTGAGGTACCAGCATTGTGGCCCAGTGGGTCAAGTCGCCACCTGCCACTCCAGCGTCCCGTCTCAGAGCCGCGGCTCCCGGGCCCGGCTGCTCTGCTTCCCAGCTGGCTCCCACGTGCTTAGGCCCCTGCCCCCCAAGTCGGAGACTCGGCTGGAGCCCCAGCCATGACTTGGGCCTGACCCACCCTCAGCTGTATGTGGCCATTTGGGGAGGAAACCAGTAGATGGAAGACCTCTGTTCTCCCCCAACCCCGCCATGTCGCTCTGCCTTTCAAATAAATAAATAACTCTTTAAAAAAAAAAAAAAGAAATTGAGAATTGATGGGAGGCAGTGTTCATGAACATAACCCTGCCGTATGCACAACGTACCTGTATGGTCCAAACAATGTTTACTGGGTACTTCCAGTGAACCTGACTGAGCTGGACTCCAGAAATTCTACCGTAACACCAGGAGGCCCTCCAGTTTGACAGGCACAGGGGTTTTTCACATACATTATCTCCCCAGTGCTCTGAGGGAGAAGTATCTCCAAGAAAGTAAATCCTTACAGCTCTCCTTGTGAACTTTTGTCATCCTGGTCCTTTGTGCACAGCCTCAGTACGTGAGGACAATTCTCAGAAAGACAGAATTTCTGCCCGGGGTGGAGCCTCTTACAGAGTGCAGCCTCGCCAAGCAGCAAGGGGCTTTGTGGTAAGGGTTCTGTGGATAACCCAGGGTGACCCATGAGCAGGTGCGGCTCAGTGACTACGTTTTGCACCTTCCCAGCAAGGAAAAACCAACTAAAAATCAATTTGTGAGATCTGAATTGGTTTACCGTATAGTCAGCTCCCCGAGGACGCTTCTCTTACTTCTGGGAGTCCTTCCAACCCTGGTAGCTCTAAAGCAGAGGCCTGCAGAAATGGAGATTGTTCGGGACACTTTGAGAAAGAGGGAGGAGGCTGTGGCGTTGGCTCCACCATGACAGAAACTCAGCCTGTGAAGTTCAAATAAACATGATAGTCATTAGAAGGCAGCACTGCCCGGGCAGGTGGCCCAGCAGATGCTGGAGCAACCCCTGAGTCAGTCCCTAAGTCTTTGTCCCTGTTCTTTCATCTGCAGAATGGGAACAATCTTGCTGAGGCAGCACAGCCTCCTCTGGCTAATGGGAGGCAGATGAGGTCATGTCTGAGAATGGCTTTGATCTCCTTGGAACCAAGCCACTGGGGGTCATTAGCGCAAGCCGCCGGACAACAGCACAGGGAAATCCCATCTCCTGGCGGGGGAGAAAGGAGAGGGGCAGCAGGAGCAGCGTGTATTCAGGGGTCTTCTGAGCCCCCCCGCCACTTTGGATGCTTCATTTCATCCCAGCAGTATGAGGGAGCTACGTAGGGAGTTAGGTAGGAATGAGTGAAGCTGGAAGCATTTTTTTTCATAATTTCTGTACAGCCCTGCCTTGTAACTCCACCCCTTTACCTGTCGATCCAGTAGACCCACTTTCCCATGATGCACCTGTGTCTCATCTGGGACCAGGAAGAAGGAACACCATGATGGCCACGCGGGAGTTAAGCTGCATGTGGAGGCACCATGAAACTCCCAGAAATGCTCACGGTGCTAAACTCAGCGCTGTTTGTGTATTCAGTTCGGGCACCACCTCCAACCTCACAAAAGGAACTGGTGCACGGAGAGGCAGCCCCTTTTGCTTTTTGGCTTCCGGATCTTGCTTTTCTGCTCCTCTCTGGCCTCCTCCCACGCTCCAGCCTCCTGGGCGGCTTTCTGGTCCATTCATGACAGGTATCTCTCCACGGGAGGCTGCCCACACTCGGGCGCTAGTGTGTATTCACTTCCCTCTTTTAAATAAGTCCTCTCTCAGTTGTGCACTCAATTTATGCCTCTGCTTTTTTTTAATTTTGTTTAATAAATATAAATTTCGAAAGTACAACTTTTGGATTATAGCAGTTCTTCCTTCCATAACCTCTCTCCCACCCACAGACCATCCCATCTCCCACTTCCTCTCCCATCCCATTCTTCATTAAGATTCATTTTTAATTATCTTTATATGCAGAAGATCAACTTAGTATATACTAGGTAAAAATTTCAACATTTTGCACCCACACAGATACACAAAGTATAAACCACTGTTTGATGACTAGTTTTACCATTAATTCTCATAGTGCAACACATTAAGGACAGAGATCCTACATGGGGAGTAAGTGCACAGTGACTCCCGTTGTTGATTTAACAATTGACACTCTTGTTTATGACATCAGTAATCACCCGAGGCTCTTGTCATGAGCTGCCAAGGCTATGGAAGCCTCTTGAGTTCACAGACTACGACCTTATTTAGACAAGGCCATAATCAAAGTGGAAGTTCTCCCTTCAGAGAAAGGTACCTCCTTCTTTGAGAACCCCTTCTTTCCACTGAGATCTCACTCACAGATGTCTTTCGTTTAGGTCATTTTTTTTGCCATAGTGTCTTGGCTTTCCATGCCTGAGAAACTCTCATGGGCTTTTTAGCCAGATCTGAATGCCTTGAGGGCTGATTCTGAGGCCAGAGTGCTGTTTAAGGCATCTGCCATTCTATGTATGCCTCTGCTTTTAGTTCTTACTTCTGTGGGATCAAGAATGTAGAATAAAAAAGGAGATACTTATGCCCGTAACACCACGACTCTTTTTTAAACTTTTATTTTATTTTATTTTATTTGAAAGAGTTACAGAGAGAGGTAGAGACAGAGAGAGAGGTCTTCCATCTGCTAGTTCACTCCCCAGATGGCTGCAATGTCCAGAGCTGCACTGATCCGAAGCCAGGAGCCAGGAGCATCTTCTGGGTCTCCCACATGGGTGCAGGGGCCCAAGGACTTGGGCCATCTTCCACTGCTATCCCAGGCCATAGCAGAGAGCTGAATTGGAAGAGGAGCAGCCGGGACTCAAACCAGCACCCATATGGGATGCCAGCACTTCAGGCCAGGGCTTTAACCCACTGTGCCACAGCGCCAGCTTTGACACCAAGACTTTTGAGCATCTACGAAGCCTTGGGCACAATGTGCTATAAACACATTGTAACCCACTGGGGACGTCATGTGTGTCCACCAGTTCTATGAGCTGTGTTTTGTATGAAGACCTATTACATGCTGAGGGAACAGTCTAACGTGGCCCTGTGAGGTGGGTGAGATGACCCCAGTGCCCAGATGAAGACACCAAGCCCCAGAGAAGTGACCTGATTGCTCAGGATGACAGTGCTGGTAACCAGTAGAGCCGGCTGTCTCCAAATCCCAGTATCAATCACAGCTGCTGATGTTGGAAAAGATCACGAGGCCAAAGCTAGCAGGAGCCACATAGACTGCGTGTGGTTCTGCAGTACCCAGCCAGCACCTGCTAGCCAGCCCTTCTGGGGGTTTTAAGTACTTTACTCCCTACAGCAAAGACCTCTGTACTTACAATGCCTAGGGTGGTCGCCGTGTCCTG